GGTCACGAGCTCGCCGCGGTCGTCGAACTCGTCGCGGTAGTAAAGGAGCTGGCGGTTCTTGATGTAGAGGGCTTCCTCGTCAGAGAGGGCTTCATGGCTAACAATGTGGCTGCTGCGGCGGTGCTGGTGTCGATCCTCCTGAGCAGCAACACCATAGAAGAGTGATGACGCGGCAAGGAAAAGGGCAGTGAGGAGAAGTGAGAGGTGGACGAGGGTGGAACGCTTGCAATCCGAGGAGAAGGCTATGATAGAGAGCTTTGGGAAAGAAGGGTCTTTTGGGCTGCTCATTTTCATGGATTTGGGCTCCGGAGGTGATGATCCCTTTGGGCTTCGATAAGGGCCTGGGCTGCACAGGCTTTGGGCTTCACAAGCACAATCAAGTGCCTTCTTGCTGATTTTTTTTTTTTTTTTTTTTTTTTTAAGAAACTGTAATTTAATTGTGTACAAAGAAAATTGCAATTTTTTTTTAACAAAATAAATTTGTAATAAAATTGACCTTCATCAATGAAACACTTATTTATTTATTTTAAAAAAATACAAAGTAATCACATATGTATTCTTTCTTTTCTTTTTTTTTTTTTTTTTTTTTTTTTTTTTTTTTTTTGTTGTGAAACATTTTTTTTTATTTTGATGTGACTGAACTTGAAATTGAATATTCAAGCTGCCTACGTACCCTTCCAAAGAAAGAGATCAAGTCAAAACGTAGTTCAAATACATACATATTTTTTTTGGAATTTTCTTTTTGTGCCGTTTGCAGTTTTAACTCATGCAGGCAATGAGTGTTGGTGTCGTTTGCAGTTTCAAATCGTGCAGGCGAGGAGTCTCGTGTCCTACAGTTTAGGCTCGTGCGGACAAGGAGCTTTTGGTTCGTGCAGTTTAGGCTCGTGCGAACAAGGAGCATTGTGTCTTGCAGTTTAGGCTCTTACAGACAAGGAGCTTTGGTGAATTTGTCAAGCAATTTTGGAGAGGCGTTCCTCATAATCTTCATAGCAAGGAGCCTTGACCGAGTGATTGAAGAAGTCTTCAGGAAAGAAATCACGCATTGTGATAGGGATGGACGATCTATGTGTCAAAATTTCATCATCTTCAACACGTTCATGTTGCTTTGAAGGTTGACAAGAGCTGCTTTGCCCCCTTTCCAATTGGCGGACATGTGGAGGAGACGTATGCTTCTTGTGCAATTTCTTAGGAGTGACTTGAGTCCATCCTTCAATTTTGCTTGTCTTGGACGATGCCCCCAGCGGTTGAGGTGAAAACTTTGAGTCGGAAGAGCCAGAAGTGAAGGTGGTATAGTTTGACTTCGCCACTTCGTCAAGATCTAGCTCGATGATTCCTTTCTGAGCCAGTTTCATGATAAGATCTTTCAGCACGAAACATTTTTCTGTCGGACGACTGATGAAGCGATGGAATTTACAGTATCTTGGATTGTCGGTACGATTCATCTCTTCCGGCCGTCTGCACTCAGGCAAACTGATCACCTTCTTGTCCAACAGGTCATCCAGCATGGCAACCACATCAGAGTCGGGGAATGGATAAGTCTTCTCCTCAAGCTCCTTCAAAGTGCGTCTACGCATCTCTTGATCACGAAAAGCTTCGTTTTGAATCGCCTTGCCTTGTGTGGAGATTTTGACGGGAGCTGTATTGACCGTCATCGCTTCCTTGGTGGGTTTCCATGCAGTCTTTTCCGCCTTTATCCCAAGAACTTTGTCGTCCTTGTAGTCGGTGACCGGTTCTTTCTTCCCATGATGGGCGATGCTCAACTCCATGTCATGGGCGCGAGTGGCCAATTCCTCGAAGGTCCGCGGTTTAATGCCTTGAAGGATGTATTGCAAACCCCATTGCATGCCTTGGATGCACATCTCGATTAAAGAGGTTTCCAAGAGCCTGTCCTTACAGTCGAGGCTTAGAGTGCGCCATCTGTTGATGTAGTCAATGACTGGCTCGTCCTTCCACTGCTTTGTGCTCGTTAGCTCTAGCATGCTCACAGTGCGGCGGGTACTATAGAAGCGGTTGAGGAATTCCCGCTCTAATTGCTCCCAACTGTTGATGGACTCAGGCTCCAGATCCGTGTACCACTCAAAGGCGTTTCCTTTCAACGAGCGCACAAACTGCTTGGCGAGGTAATCCCCTTCGGTTCCTGCGTTGTTGCAGGTTTCAACGAAGTGGGCAACGTGCTGTTTCGGGTTTCCCTTTCCATCAAATTGCATGAACTTTGGTGGTTGATAACCCCTCGGCATCCTTAAGGCGTCGATCTTCTTTGAATACGGCTTTGAGTACAACCCGGAGGTATTTGAGATCCCTTCGTATTGTGCCTTGATGGTGTTGGTGATCATCTCTTGCAGCTGCTGGATAGAAAGAGATCCCATGAGTGCCGCTGCTTGGTCTGGCTCTGGCTTCGCATCGTTTTTCTCCACCTGAGGCTCATCTTCTGGGTTAGGGTTCTCGTCGTCCTGTGGTTCCAGTCGGCTGACGAGTGCAGCGATTTGCAAGTTTTTTTCTTCCACAGTTCGGGTTAGCCTTGCGATTGCTTCATTCATCTGAGCTAGTTGTTCTTCAACGGAGGTAACGCCGATAGTCATGACTTGTGCGACTAATAGACGTGACTTTCCTTTAGACATCCAGGATGCTGATGAAGAACGTCGTTGGCTGCTTTGAGATGTCATCTTATGTGCCTCAGCATTATGCTTCGGTGTCCCCAGCGAGGTCAGGTTGATGACAGACTCGCACCTTGGATGCTCCCCTTGCTCTTTTAGCGGCACCAATTTTGAAGTGGCATGTTGAGGAGCGGTTGTGGCGCCAATGGATTGTCCGTTTGCGGCAGAAGTGCTTAGGATCTTTCCCTCTGTGGTTGCAAGAACGGCTTGTCCCTTGCTTGATGCCATTGACTTTGAGTGTGCTTGGATTCCTTGAACGGAGAAAGAGATGAGAGGTAGAGATTGTCCCACCGGGCGTGCCAATTTGTGAACACGGAAAATTCCTGAAACGAATGAGACAAGAACGAACGTGCACAAACAAATATTTGTATTTGATGGTTTTGGGTTACAATCTCTCTCTATTTTGATCCTCTGATTCGATCTCCGTAAGATGTTGATTTGTGGGATGTGCGATTGATCCAAGGGCCGTCGAGGCTTGATCTTGGATGAACGAGGATGAACGGATCTTCAAGGGCTTTTGGGCTTGATCTTGAAGAATGGTGATTAACGGATCTTCAAGGGCTTTTGGGCTTGATCTTGAAGAACAGTGATGAACGGATTTTCGAGGGCTTTTGGGCTTGAACTCGAAGAACAGTGACGAACGAATCTTCGAGAGCTTTTGGGCTTGAACGGATCTTCGAGGGCCTTTGGGCTTGATCTCGAAGAACAGTGATGAACGGATCTTCAAGGGCTTTTGGGCTTGATCTTGAAGAACGGTTGGATGTGTGGATTTGTCGACGTTGTTGATCCAAATGGCCGTTGGGGCTTGATCTTGGATGAACGGATGATGAACGATGGTGCTTTCTTCAAGGGCCGTCGGGGCTTGATCTTGAATTGGTGGATGGTTGATCCAAGGGCCGTCGGGGCTTGATCTTGGAAGAACGATGAACGAAGAACGAAGAACACTTTCTTCAAGGGCCGTCGGGGCTTGATCTTGAATTGGTGGATGATTGTTGATCCAAAGGGCCGTTGGGGCTTGATCTTGGAAGAACGATGAACGAGGAATGAAGAACGCTTTCTTCAAGGGCCGTCGGGGCTTGATCTTGAAGGTGGATGATTGTTGATCCAAGGGTCGTCGAGGCTTGATCTTGGAAGAACGATGAACGAAGAACGAAGAACACTTTCTTGATTCTTCGGGAACCTGGATGCTTGAGAGCTTCGGAGTTTCAGAGCTTCAGAGCTTCAAGGTGTAATATGAATTGGTTCCCCCCTAAATGAATGAAATGGGCTTGTATTTATAGAAATTTCCAAGGCCTAATTTTGAATATAATATTCCAGATGAAATAAGTCGTTTCTGCCAGGTGTTGACACGTGTCCTATTTGATGACTTTTCCAACTCATTTCAATTTTCGTTGAGTCACACGCTACGTGTAAAATTTATGTAATACATGAGCGTTGACACTTTGATTTATCGGTCAATATTTACTTACCGAAATTTCGATGTCTACAGAAACCAAATAAAAGAGTACTCAAATGAAGATAAAATAAAATAAAACACACTCCCCATGAAAAATATGATTTTAACATCAACTAAAAGATCTTTAGGCACGCATAGGCATAGCGCCCGTAATAATAAAACGACATTTTGCATGCGCAGATGTGTGAGGAAAAGCTAGTATTTCATATTGAATTTTTTTATCCCATTCATAGAGCTTCGGAATATACATGAATGAAAATCTTCATTCCGATTTCCTACAGTTACATGCATGATTGATCTCTCATTGATGCTAAACCACCTAATTATTCTGACCACACACTAAGAATAATTTTCCCAACACCATGGTATTTCCTGGTTCGCATGTTAATTAAGTTTAGAGCATCAAAACATGGCTCCTCAAACTCCATGATTGTTTTGAAGCATTTGTAGCCAAATTATATAATGCTGTTTTTGAGCTGCACAGTGATGAAATATACAAATATATAGAATTAATCTTCACGATCATCATAGTTTATTGATTTTGTCCTTTAATGTTTTGACCTAATAAGTTGTCCGTCATCTACAGGTGTATATCTCGGTCATCTACAATATCTCGATCGGAATAGAGAGATGATATAAGATATGAACAATCATATAACATAACAAATGTTTTGAAATTTATTTTGTTTTGATATAAAAGTTGGGAAACAAGAGCATATAATATAAAAATAAAAATAAAGGCCAATGAGCTATATCTCAAGTGGCACTGTGGCACCACAAAGAAAAATAACAATTCTGCTAGCTTACAACCATATATAAATATAAATATATGGTTTTATTCCTACTAATTAAGTCCTCTTGTAGGACAAGGATTAATTAATTCCATCATATTACGTCTGCCAGTGATAATATTTCAAATCCTGTAATTCATCAAGATCATGCAAATATATCCCATCATCCTTAACCTTCCAAGTGCACTCCTGGAAACCACATGACTCGAGAAACGACTTGTCGCAATTGAAGAAGCGATAGTTGCCGCCATGACTCTTGGATTTGGAGTACTCCCAGCTTAACTTGCACCAGTACTCAGTTAAGACACATTTGTCATTGTGGAAACGTACGGTGAAACGATCACCGCTGCTGATCCAATGGCTACCCAAGTCTCCTCCGCCATTGGATTTGCAATGGACCTTCAAAATGGTGGCGGTGCCACTCAACTCGTTTCGAATTTGCACAAGGTAGTTGCCAGAATGAGGACCAACAGGGGCAACGGAGGACGGAGAAGACATAACAAATGTTGAGATTGCAAGTAACAAGTAAATGGTGTGGCTTAAGAAGGCTCTCATCATGGTTTGGAAATTGGGATTCCTAGTTCAGAATGTGAATATGCATATTCTTCTCAGAAGCTTTTTTTATAGGCACATATACATTAATGGTTAAGACTTAATGAGTGTGGCAGGTGGAGATGAATTGGGGTTTAATTAGAGAATTTGATTAGGTCAATTGGGTTTGGCAGCATGGTTTATTATGAAGTGCTGAAATTGTCGAATTAGTAAATAAGGCATCAAAAGAATAGTGAAAGAGAGGAATGAGTAGGTAACAGTTGTAACATAATATTAATAGAGAAACATTTTTGCTCACCATCATAAACTATGATGTATGCTCAACATACACCTCATCATCTGTCAAGCATCCTTTTATCTAATTTTAATGAATTTTAGTATCAAATCTTCATTTTCAACAGAAGTTACATGGTTGCAATAACACAGGCCCTCAACTATATACATCAGATCACTGTACATGGATCCCATGTATACTTCTGTTGATATTCTTTGTGCGGAAAATTATATAAAGTATATTCCATCATTTGTGCAAGGAAGGTCTACACAGGAAATTCTGGGATCTTTTAACTTGGGAATGGCGTGGCATTGAGACTGCTTACATAGCTTAGGTAAAACATCTTAAAAAAAGCGATATTGTTCGCAGTTCAACCTAAGACACTTTTGCATTCATCCGTTTTCATTCACTAGTAACATTGTTCTTGTTTTGGTTATATTGCTTTAACAGTTCCAAATTATCGTTCTTGGATTCACAATGGATACTAATATGCACAACTACAATGGAACATAAGGCGTTTAGTTTGAATTAATATAACTTCTCACTTTTCTCCTTAGACTACGAGTTTTATCCTACTTTGGTTTTATCATAGCCAGGTTTTGTGAGGTTTGCTACTTATGCATTTATCTGTTTATTTATTAGACTCGCATTCGCTCATTGTGCCGACTAGACGAGATGACTTCATCAACTATTTTTACATCATTATATAAAGACCTGATGCATTATTTACTTGAGTATTTACACACTCAAGGGGAGTAATGCAATCATAATTCTATTAGAAGTGTGATTGTGTAAATTATAGTAAGATTATGTGTAGGAGATTCTACAATATCTTTTAGATAGTTACCTAGTGTAAATGTATTACTTGGAGAACAAGGATTTTCTCTCTCCCTTATTAGTACATAAATAAAAGTACAAGGAATGAAAAATATCACACACAAAAATCTTCAAGCCCTTCTCTTCTCTGTTTGTCTGGCATTGAGCCTTTACCTCTCTTTTTCCTTAGTAAATTAGGCCAACAACAGAAAATCATTAGTTCTCACTAATTTTATGAAAATTTGAGAAGTAATGAATTAATTACATTTAATGGATGGCAGAAAGTTTATTCGAAATTTTAAGAAAATAGTAAAATAGTGACATGTCATGTTTTAAATGCAAATATGTTGATGTGTAGAGAGTCAAAAGATTTTGATTCAAAATTTAAAATCAAATAAGTTTTCACGATATTAGTAGCTACGGATTGCATTCCAATTTCTCCAAATATAAATGTAGTATATATGAATGTGTTTATGTTAGAAAATCTGGTTCAAAATCTCTAATTTTCTGGCTTAAAATAACCATTAATTAATCCTGAAAAATATAAGATAATTAATCAAGATGGTTAAAAAAATGGAATTTTAACGAAAAGCTCCTGGTACCGTTAATTTTAACGAAAAACCACATTTTTACACTAAAAAGTCAATCATGATACTATTCATTTTACCCTTTATTTTGTCTTTATCGTTAAAACTCAAAGTTTTCAAAACCATTTTCATTAGTTTTCCTTAAAAATAATCTCATTCATTGAAATTTTTTTGTCGAAATTTCTTTCACCGAGTAGAAAATTCAGCATAAGCCCTTCTCTTCTCTGTTTGTCTGCCGCCGACCCTCTACCTCTCTTTTTCCTCAGTAAAATAAGTTAACCACAGAAAGTGATTTGTTCTCACTAATCTTATGAAAATATGAGAAGTAATGAATTAATTAGCTATGTTAAGAATTTGACATGTATACTCTAAAAAACAAATCATCAGATGCATATATAGGTACTATAATCAGTAAATGTAATACATGTACTCTTCACATAATTTCTTGAGCTCTCTTCTTTTGAATCAGAATGCAGAGGAATTTGACAACTAAATTCCTTTACACCATGCATAGAGCATAACTACGGAAAGTACAAATAAAAACATTTGTAACAGATTTATTGTTGCGAGAATGGAGAAAAATACATATCAGAAATTCCAAATGTTTGGTTTGATAATCATAAGCTTCACCTTCTACCACCCCGGCTCCCATTTGTGAATCAACTCATCACGTTTTTCAGGAATAACTCGTATATAAAACCCATCATCCTTTGCAATCCAAAAGCATTCCTTATAGTTGCATCTGTAACGCAGCCAATTATGTTTACTCTCCTCCCAATACACATCGAACGCCGTATGCTCATGGTCCGTGCGCGTGTAACACCAATACAGCGTCGTCCCGAAGAAGTTCGGCTTGAAGCTCCAAGTGATCTCAGCCCCAGGTGCTATGGTACGGTTTCCGATATCGTCATTCTTGGACTGACAATGGGCGAACAATGTTTTTCCGGCTCCCAAGTTATTTACCACGTGTACATGCCATCTACCAGGACGAAGCTCCCAATTGTCTTCATGGAAATTTGCTAGGCATGGAGCACTTAGGGCTAGTGCTGCACACACAAAGAGAAACGCATGACGATTGAAATCATTCATTGTTTCGCAGATTATAGGTAATGTTGGACTCGTTTTCTTCTTGTATACATATACATATATATAAGCTATACATACTATTTATTTAAATTATAAACCATAGGATGTGATTATTGATGATTGAATTATTACTTAAAAGTTTGTTTAACGTGCTTATTTTGTATTGTTAACACATTATATGATTGACAAATATGGTATAAAAAGAAATTTACCTAGCATTTTCCTAAACTGGCGAAATTGTGGTCCATTAAATTATGGGTTTTTTCTACGTTTTTTCAGTTATGAAAAATCTTTACCTCTTTTCCGGCTTTGCACAATTTCAGAAAAGGGAGCAAATTAATTAGATTGCACTATGTGTTTTATTTTTGCACTTAATCCCATTTTATAGTTTTATTTTTATTTTTTATAGAAGCTTCATTATACTCATTAGAAAAGATTATTTTTAAATTAATTCCTTAAACTAAGATTAAAAATTAAATTCATCCCTTAACCTATGTCCATGTTAGCATGCATATTCCACCTCATATTTTATTTGGTATGTTTATGATAACTTACTACCATATACTGCATAAGGACAACAACTATCATACATTGTATAAAGACAACCACTATTTGTTTCACAACAGAAACTTATTTACTCATAAAAAAATGGTTTACACACATTCATTTTACCACTAATTTATACATGCCATATTGGGTGAAAATGAAATAAGTACCAAAAAAAAAAATTGTTTTGTAAGAAAAAAAAAAATTGTTTTGTAAGAAAAAAAAAAATTATTTTGCTTGGTGCCAAAGTATATTTAATGCAAGAGTTCTATTATGTTGAAGCTAGGGGTAGGCATGGGTCTGACCCAAAATTGAAGATATCGGACCAGAATACACCTATTTGGTTATAAAAAGAGGTAGGGCAAGATGGATCGTATTAATTTAAAAATGGAACTGGATCTAATACGGCCATTTTTTAAACCAAACCTTATTGATTTTATCCATCTAATTTTGTATTTTAACACATTGAATATTAAATGTTCATTGAATTTTAATTCCATACATCATATGCCACATTGTATATCACAAAACGTAGTAAATGTTAATTACTCTTATAACATCTCACATCGTCCAGAGGAGTGGATCTTATAAGCCTTATATCTATATTCTCATCTATACCTAGCACGAGGTCTTTTGGGAGCTCACTGACTTCGGGTTCCATTGGAACTCTGAAGTTAAGCGAGTTCGCGTGAGAGCAATCCCAGGATGGGTGACCCATTGTGAAGTTTTCGTGTGAGTTCCTAGAAACAAAACCGTGAGGGCGTGGTCGGGGCCCAAAGCGGACAATATCGTACTACGGTGGAGTCGAACCCGGGTTGTGGTGGGGGCCCGGGCCGGGATGTGACAATTTGATATCAAAGCCAATCCCTGGCCGGAAGTGTGTTGACGAGGACGTCGGGCCCCTAAGGGGGATGGATTGTAACATCCCACATTGTCCTAGCACGAGGCATTTTGGGAGCTCACTAGCTTCGGGTTCCATTGGAACTCCGAAGTTAATGAATAACATATTCCCCTTTTATCAATGAATATCGTACTTTCTTTAAAAAATATATATATAACTTGACATTTGACACTAAAGTCATATATGATTCCCAAATATGACTTTTAACTCTAAATATTTTTGGTGCGATATAAATTTCACATAATTATTTGGTTGTCTGCTTTATTACATAATAATTAAGGGCAGTACTTTGCATCTTCCTTTATATGTGATGCATAGTTATACATAGTGCAAATTAAAACATGCTCATGATTAATAAATTTAATCATGACGATTAAGCCTCAAAGTACTTAATTACCACCCTGGTTCCCATTTAAGCTGAAACTCGTCACGACTTTCAAGAATGACTCGTAGATAAATCCCATCATCTTTAGCAATCCAAAAGCACTCTTTATAGTTGCATCTGTAGCGAAGCCAACTGTGGTTACTCTCTGGCCAAAACACCTTAAAGGAAGCGTACTGGTGGTCGTTGTGCATGTCGCACCAGTACAACGTACTTCCAGAGAGGTTCTCTCTGAAACTCCAATTGAATTCATTCCCAGCTGAAATGTCTCGAATTCCGAGGTCATCATCTAGGGATTCACAATGAGCTACCAATGTTCTTGAAGCCCCCATTTGATTAACAACATGCAAAGTATATTTAAGCAGTGGAAACCCCTGTCGTTGGATTTCCCGAACATGGGTGGCTCAAAGCTAGTAATGCTGCAAACAGAGAGAAAACCACATAATGTGGTTTGAATTTGAAAGCAGTACTCATTGTGTTGCAGTGTTTGGCTACCTCATTTTCTTCTTCGTTTATATAGCCAAATTCTGGTATGAATCACTTGGAAGTTTGTACTATTCATTTAATTATTTAAGCAGTTACGTCCTCCTTTTGTGCGTTGGAAAACATGCATAGAAAAATAAGTTGTTGGCACTCTCATAAACTTCTTTGACTCCATTAAAGTTCGTATGGAAAATTTGGTTACAGTCTTTGGTTACTTGCTATTCGTCATTGTCTTTTCATTCAAGACCTATGTTAAACATGATACAACGTATTAAGGTTAAAATTAATATTTCTAAGAATGATTTTCTACAACTAGCATTCACAAGATTTATTTGTTTCCATCCAATTTAGGTTCTTCTTAAACACGAAATCGATACATTATAAGCTCTGATAGCATGAAAACATTCACCATGATGCATGATCTTCTAATTTATCTTTCCTTTATATATTGCCTTATATTGCATATATTGTTTAATATGTATATATATATATCATGTTCATCCATACACAATATTATGTTATGTTTTTTTTTTTATTGGATATTGCTATGGTGAATTGTGTTAGTACAAAGAAAAGAAGAAAATTAAAGCAAAATTCGGTTTTTTTTTTTTCTTTTCAAGAAACTCACTGAGTCGCGGCTCAAAGCAACGCCAAGTTGCCAAGTCAGTGGAGCTAGCAGCTTCTGGCCCCAACACCCAGTGAAACGAAAACATTTCAGTCATCCCCTTCCTCTAGCCTGTGCACCTCGATGTAATCAAGAACCACCGTGCCTGAAGCCGTGTCTCATCACCAATTCTCGGTGATTGAACGATAGTGGTGACGCCATTAGTCGTCCACCATGGTCCATTAGAACAAATGTGTAGAAAATACTTTGTTACTTTATTCATCGTATAGGTTTACTACTAAATTCTAAAGATTACAGATCATATTCCTACCTAGGACTCCAAGAATATTACATTAAGATTTTGAGTAAGGATGACACCGCATAAATCAAGAAATGATCTAAATTTTGTAGTCATTTAGTACTATAGTCTAGTGATATATATTTTTTTCACTTATAATGAGAGGTCTTAAGTTCTTGTCGAATGTGAGTTTGAGCCAAATTATTTTGGCAGACCCATAATGTGGCTTAGCATGAGTTCCCAACCCCTTTAGTGTAAATATATTGTTGTATTAAAAAGAACTATGATGCCATTTAGAACTACAGTCTTTTAGTATTTCTTCACTTGTAAGTGAGAGATTTTATATTCGATTCTAGACGAATTCGAAACAAATTATTATGGCTAAACTCTTTATAAAATTATCTCACTCCACCACCACTTAGTATAATATATTATCAAATATATTAAAAAAATGTGATAAGGCAATGCATTTAAATTAGATAATTAAATAAACTTACCATTTATTCTCTCATATTAAATAATATTAATTATCTTTAATATCCCATTATTTTCTTAATTATCTCATTAAACTACCTGCACCCATAGAAAAAGAAAAAAGAATAATATGGACTGAAAAAAGATGGTTTGCTTAGGTTCTGAATATTTGATTTTTTTCTTTCTGAAAATTAATTAATGCATACATTAATCATGTTTGTCTCTCAACGTGGCTCATGAAGACTCATAAAATCGTTGATGAATTCAAGAGCTTGGGTCCTTATGCAAGTTCGGGAAAGGGTGAGTCCGCCAACATTTGAGTGAGCCACCCAGTTGTTGCTCACGTGGGATAATTTTGAAAGGGGTTAAAGCCTGTACTAGACTTACATGGGTAAACAAAACGGAGGTGTATTCAATTGAGATTTTAAGGGATTTTAATTTTTTTAATAAATCGAGGGGTATTCAATCAGGATTTTAAGTGATTATTTGAAATTCAAGGTATATTCAATTAGAATTTTAAGATAATTGATTAAAATCCTTAGAAATCCGGGTGTATTCAATTAGAATTTTAGAGAAGTTTATAACATTTCAGGTGTATTCAATTATAAATTAATTTTAAAGAATTTGAGAAAGTTGAAGAATTAGAGGGAATTGGAGAGATTTTGTAGTGTATTTTAAGCATCCACAAATCTCACATCTTCCTATGAGATTTCGAGAGAATTGAATCAAAATTTTATATGGAATCTCTACAAATCAATTAAACTCCATAAAAATCTACAGATTTATAAATTCATTAAAGTCTCTCAAATTCTCAATTGACTAAAACCCCCAAAAACATACAATTTAAGCATGTGATGATGGTTCCAAGTGCTGAATTACTTTGATAAATAGAGTCTTTCTTTTTATTTTATTGTGTTTTGATTTTAAACTCGCATTACATGAATTTTAGAAAGATTAGAGTAAATTATCTGATCATTTGTAAGGAAAAAACGTACGCATCAAATAATGTTTTGTTGTACACATTACATTAAGTTTATTTTTTCGTTTTGAAAATTTTCATTTATTTAAAGTGGTCAAATACCCAGGGGATGATGATCCATCTAGTGGTGGATTGCATTAAGAAATAGGATCTTCTTCTTTAATTCACTGCATTTTGATTTGAAACCCGCATCACTCTAACTTTTAGATAAATTAAAGTAAATTATCTTACCATTTGCAAAAACAAAACGTACACATCAGATAATTTTTTTTTGGGTCAAATACACATCCGATAATGTTTGATTGTACACATTATTTTAAGTTTTATTTTATTCATTTTGGAAATTTCATTAATTTTAATTGATCAAATACCGGGGAGGGAGAGAGACATCAGATTCAATTGCACTTACAAAAATTAAGATGTAATACAAAAACTATATAAACAAATAACAAAATAAAATATGTAACTATGCAAGAGATAACAACAAATCGAACAAGTAATGAGAAAATGTTTTATTATATCAACTTTGGGGAGCTTGAACAACCTCTCAACCATACATCAGATCACCATGGTTCCCATTTATACTTCTGAACATATTCTTTGTGCTTAATGATAAACAAGTATATTCCATCATCTGTTCCTCTCCACCTACAATCACTTTCTTCACACTCATCAGTTATTGCAGAGCTATATGCATCAAAACTTTTATGTCCTCCCGTCCACGACAGATTGCAAAAGAAAAGTGTAGTATCCCAAAAGTTCAACCTAAATTTCCATGAATATTCTTCATTCACTGAGACATCGTGACTTCCCAGATCGTCGTCCTTGGATTGACAATGGACATTAAGAGTCTCATTTGTCAACCCATTTATAACATGCACCCGCATCTTGTCGAAAATTGAATTTGAGACTTGGGTTTGGCACAGGCAGATAAGCAGGACAAGGAACAATAGGCATGGTTTCATTGTCCTCATATTGTTCTCTATACTTGGTTGCTGGGTTGAACATTTCTCGTTGTATAGGAGCTTAAATAGGCATTCATATTTCTTAGGCCTACGTGGGGATATCGACATTCCTTTTAGGGGTGTGCTATCCACACACCATTTTTAACTTCTCACACACCCCTTATTGATTTCTATCCCTTGATCTTCTTCAATTCATCCGATCCAAAGGCCGAAAATTAGAAAGGTGTGTGAGAAGTAAAAAGGGAAGTGTGGATATCACATCCTTTCCATTCAACTATTTACCACTAAACAGAAGGAAAAGGTTTACAATCTACATTCCCAAGTATTATATTATATTCATTGTTCGATTTCAATTTCTTACCACAAAAGAGAAGGAATTTTTTTTGCCTCTCTTCAGTTATGGAATTTTCTACCTCTTTTCCGGCTTTGCAAAATTTCAGAAACGAGAGAAAATTAATTAGATTCACTATGTGTTTATATTTAATGAATAAAAACTTATTATTTACTTCTTCGTCCAAATCCTTAAAGATTTCAGACTCCCATCTGTATGGGCCCGTTTGTTGGGCTGGGCGAAATTGGGCTTAGGAATATGATTGGGTTAGTAAGGATTTGTAAGAAAGAACTTGTAACTCGTGTATGAGAATATGTTGTATAACTCACTCTTATATTTTGACACAACAATGAACTTGTCTCAAGCTCATTTTAATTGGTCACAATCAAGGAAGAAAATATCGGTGATATCGGAAATATCGGTAGTTCGAAAACACGGAAATATCGATGGAAATATCGGTAAAATATCGATATCGATAAAAATTACATGGAAACCACGGAAATTGTAAGAAAAACTTGGAAATTTTTATTGAAACTTTGTAGGATGTTTATTTAGTCAATTATCTATTAGTTTATCACAAAAAATTGGAAGGAAATGCATTGCATGATGGATTTAACATTATCAAGTTGATTATATAGCGATCTGACAAACATTATGAGTGTAGAAAATATGTAGTAATTAATGAAAGAAGTCTAAACACACCATAATCATTTACATATAATGAATTAGTACAATATTTTACACTTTAGTACCACATAGAGTTCCTATGAGGTTCAAATTTGTCACTATCTTCATCATCTCTATGTGTAGAATGAGTGTATTGTGAAGAGTAGTTATCAAATGATAAATCCCCAAAATAGTTTTGCATGTAATTGTTAATATGCCACCCATATGGATCCGAGATTGGTTGAGGTTGTCCATAAGAAAAATCATTTGAAGATTGAGGCTGGGATTGATTCCATGAGTAGCTCGATTCCATCCCAACAGGAATGGGATATGAAGGGTAGGGAAATGGTTGGTTATGAGTATAACCATAGTTACTACTTCCCAATCCAACAGAGTCTGAAGTTCTAGATAACGAGTTATCTTCTTGACTTGACAAAATCCTTTTGCCTCTTTCTCTGCGAGTATAGTCCTTCCCTATGGCACCAATTCCTGGTCCTGCCCGCCTACTGCCATGGTCATCATCTTGTGTTGC